CCTCCGCTGCCCGCTCCTGACGGACTCGAGGCGGCGCCGGTGCTTTGTACAGAGCGGCTGCCTTGTAAGACTGTGCTACCAGTCGCGCTTTCTGATGCTGTAGGCTCGTGTGGAACTGCACTGATAATAGCACCGGCCTTGTGGCCAAGAGCAAGGCTAGGCACAGTGTATGGCTGATCACACACGAGGTCAGTCCCCCTGCGGAAACTGAACAAGGGGCAGCAGCAATAAACCAGAGTGCAAGGACCCTGGTAGCAGCAGCAGCTTTAAAACTCTCGTCAATGACTCCTGGTCTACACTAGAGGATAAGTTGGAATTAAGATAGGCTGCTTCAGCTATTTTAACTGCATATCTTGAGCTGAAGTCTGTATCTTAAGTGGAATTTGGCACCCCTCCACACTGCAGGAAGTCAAAGAAAGAACACTCTCCTTTCGACTTCCCTTACTCCTCATAGAAGCAGGACTACCAGCATTGACAGGAGAGCCCCTCTCAGTTTGAATTAGTGTGTCTTTACTAGACCCCCTAATTTGAACCCCAGAAGATTGACGGCAGCTGCATCAATATTAACTGTAGTGTATACCGGGCCTGAGAAAACTGCACTACCCTGATTTTGCTCATACAGGACTCCCCAGCTAGTCCAGTGCTATGAGGGTCTTGGTATGACACAAATCTCTGTCCCCTTTCATATTTAGTCCCACTGATTCCAGGATAATAATTCAACAATGGTAGGCTCTGCCCTTGCTCTTATCTTGCATCCTCAACTCTTCTCAAGACTTTCAATCTCACTTCCCACAGCAAAGGGAGTCTTACATCCTCCCCCCGAGAGGGGAACCAAAGCACCGCACCGGTTTCCAGTTCAGGGATCTTAGAAGCAGCATTGGTCAAATTCTTTGCTGCTACCATTACCTTCCTGGACTTCTTCCCACTATGCCTGGTAGCAGGCGTCTCTACAACTTCTAATTTAAACCTTTTTTTCAGGGGAAGGATTCCTAAGACTCTTAATTCCCAAATAAAATCCAAAATCAACTTCATTCATCTTGACTTTCGTCAGCTTCAAAATTCCCTTGCTCTGTTCCTCCACTGAA